TAAAACATTTCATTCTATCGCCGCCCTGGATTCTACGAGATGAGGCAATAGGGATTGAACAACAAAAATGCTGAAATATGATCCAGCGCCGAAATCAGTAAGGCTGAAAGGAAGATTAACCGTCGTGTGTGGTACTGGTTTGATATCTTCATTTATTTATAAGGGCATCTGAGTGAAATAGCTAAAATATGCAATTGTGCGTGTTTCTTGGACCGCTTTCGCTTGTTGAGTAACATATTATTGTGGGATGCAAAACTTATATTACAAATGCAATGGGTTCAACAAGGTTTACTGACAGATGTGCTAATTAAATTTACTTGTAGTTTTTATACGTCAGGACTGATTGTTGTACGTCATTTTACAATTTGAAATCAAATAGGCTTAGAGAATCCCATATTACACTTCTTAAATAATTGCTGTTTCAAAATATTATCATAATATGCTGTTAAAATTCGTAATTCTTTCCACTCTTTAATTAGAAATAAATGATGTCTGACTTCAGATAACACAAAACCAAGTAGTGGTAAGGAAAATGATACATACGGCTGGTGGATTGTAGCAGAAAATAAATTATGCAAAAAAGTCTCAAATAGATAATTCAGTTTTTGCATATAAAAATTTCAATGACACAATAAAAGCATGAAGAAGGGTATATCTATCTTTTCGATTGAAAAATTAGAAATGCGTTTGAAAATGTGATCTTGAAGCAATAAATATGGACATGACAAAAATTTCATTTGGCATTTCATCCAAATGAAACAGTAGCGATGTATTGCCAGAATTAAGCGTAAATAACTGAGTAAAATGCTGAAAAAGTCATGAGTACATTTCACTGACAGTTTCACAACTCATCCGACTAATTGTTTTATTCGGAACTCTTTCACTGAATGCTCGCATAATTTCGATAAAACAACCAAAAACATTCACATATGAAATATATATATTTCAATGTATTATGCAAAAATTTGACATTTATTGCAGTTTATGAAGTGTTTTGCTTCCACTCGCCCTTTGATAATGATTAGATCAGTGCTTAATTATGCTGAGAGTTTTGCTGGACTTTTCACTTCACCTGTTATCGGATTTCGATCTGGAATCACATATTACAATTTTAGAATAGTTTGACTGATTCATTTCAGTACCCTTAGTTAGTGGGAAAAAACTTCTCAACTACACAGTTCTATTACAATTTTAATTGTAAGAATAGCCAATTCCTACTTCTGGCAATCAGTTAATAACACTTGGATTTACATAAACCTCCTGAAGCTTTTATAATTTTAAAATTTAAATATTAATTATTTCTCAATTTTCTCAATACAATTGAAAACAATCAAGGCAAATTTTTTAGATCTATTTTTCTTATTGACTATGGCATCATCGAAGTCTAGATCAAAGTACTGATATATTTTAAGATGTATGTAGGTATGAAAATATGCAGTTAGTGAACATGCTTATCCACTATTTTGCATGCTTGTTTTTATGTGCATAAACACAGTTATTCATGTGTATGATTTCCTCCTAGTGCGGAAGCAATCCATCTTATTTCAAAAGAATATTTTCAACATTTCAAAAACTCGAAAAATTTACCATTCATAGCTCTAAAAAAATTGTGATCGAAAAAGCAAAAACATCAGTTATGTTTTATATTTTTTTCTGAGTTAGAATCTGAATAAAAACTTCAAAACACAGCGATATCTAAAATATTATCAGAATGCAATTTCATCTTGCTTGCCTAGTCACAACTGACACTGACCCCTTTTTGTAATCGCTGATGGAAGTTGAAGGAAAATCATCCCGTTAGATAAAAAAATAATCGAAAATACTAATGATATGGTAACAAATTGAACAAAAAGGAAAAATTAATTTCTAAATATAGCCAATTTGTATGCAGTCAGTGACGTGGAGAACCTGATCAAGAACCGATTTCAAATAGTTCCTTTAATTTCTAAAAACTTTTGTGATTTACGAAAAATTTTTTTTGCATTTTTTTTCAAAAGTAAAAAAACATCCGTTTTCAACCAAAGTGAAATGACTGATCTTAAAACTGAACAATTTTTTTGTTTTGAATTTATTAATAATTTTTCACTCAGACCATTCGAAGTCGTTATGAATTTATTCTAACGTAGAGTAATTAATTTACACAGCATAAAAATGAACTGAAAAATACCAACCGATTACAGGTATTGTTTTTTTGGGTGTACGAATAGTTGGCGATTTTGCTGCGTTATCTTCGAATATCGATGACTTGAAAGTATTAGAAACTTTTTTTGAAGGCATTAACTGTTCTGCCACTTGACCAAATATACGATCACGTGTATTTCCACATTGAGGGCTACGTAAGGGCATCTGAAACTTCCAAAAGTTGATTAAAGCATAAACCAATTAAAGGGGGCAAAAAGTAGCCGATTAATATGAACTAAATCTTGGATTGACTAGCAAAATATAAATTAATTGCGGAAATGTTAATGAGAACAGAAATTAAATTATTAAAAAAGTGTTCCTTTGTCATAACAATTTGATTGAAAGTCTTTAACACTGATAAATACGAGAAAACTGCGTCGATATCACTTTTTCGGGTGATAATAACAATAAAATGCGTTAGCAACAATAGCTGACAATTATCAGCTTGGTATTTGTTATTTATTATGTACACACGCCACTGCTAATTTGTGATTGCATCAATAAATAGGTAGAAGAAATGGACAAAAATCGCTTCACTGAATAAATAATGTAATAATTTTTGAATGAATTAGTTTACATGACGAGTTTTTCATTACTTAATTTTGATTCCCTCAAGACTGCAATTTTATTACTAACACAGTGGTAGCTACTTTTTATAAAAAGTGTTGTCACATTTGTCAATCTATTGTTAGTGTTCATGCAAAAATTACAAAAGTTATTGACATTGTTGATCAGTTTGATGTGGGAAATTTTTCAAACTTAATTTCTAGTATCTCAAAAATAAGAATTTCCTGCTCAGTTTTCAGATTTGGGAAACAAATGAAAAAAACATTTCATTTTGTAAAAATTTATAAATGGCAAGAAAAATTCCAAGGATTACTGCTTGTTCCACAATAGTATTTGTTACTGCGTCGATACTTCATCCTAACTTGCTAAGTATGTCGGCATATCAAGTTTAATTTGAGACAAACTGGTAAGTCACACTTAATTTCAGTAATTATTTTGTTAGCTATCGCAAAAATTTACCAGCATTCAACGAAAATCAAATTAGAAAGTAATAAAGAGACTAGAAATTAAAAACGACAAAAGCTATGCTTGAGCTAATTTCCAATTTCACTGCAGCATTCATTACGCAAGAGGACAAGCTACGGTTTATTCTTTGAAAAATCTCTTTAGAAATTTAATTTAATAACTGTTTAATTTGATTACAATAGTGCTGTATCTTTTCCATTCCCCGCGCATATTATATTCCTTCAACTTTTCAATTAAAAATGCATCAATTATTTATGCTTATTCATGCGCAATGTTACACTAAATTAAGCAATCTTTTTAAAAATTAATATTTCAATTTTTTGAAAACATCATCAGTTATTCTGAAAACCATCAAATCATCAGGCACTGTAAATGAAACTGGCTGTGCAAATGACTGATTCTTATTTATTTCTATCTGCGTAGATACAGTGATCGAAAAATATCCACAAACCTGCAAGTCATAAAGACAAATGTTCAAATAAGGTCCATGCAAATTATTTATTTGTTATTTACACAACTTATCTCATTTACAAAGTAGTGCAAAAATGTCTACAAATTTCTTAGAGTTTTCTCATTGTCGAAAAGTTTTTAACATTTTCAATACTCTAGCAGCCATGAGTAAACAAATTATCTTACGCAAAGGATACAACGAAATTGACCTTCTCGTCAAAATTTTGTCCATTCGTAAGCATAAATGAAACAAAAAACAAAATTTCTCAACTGTATTAAATTTTGAAAAAACGACCAGACAACACAGAATGAAGGATCTTTAATACTATTCTTTCTACTTACAGTCCAACGCTTACTTTCTTACTTTTCTTACAAAGAATATTTTAATAGCAGTTCTAACTTAATCTTTATGCTCCTAACTTTTTCCTGAAAATAAAAAAACATAGTATATTTGACACTTTTTACACAAAACAATAATTTTAAAAACAAAGCTTAGATGCCAAAGCAATGTTGAAATTGCTCTTCAGCAAGCATTTCTTTTCGGGTTTGCAAGCGCAAACAATCATTTTGGTCAAGAAATGCTGCGTGATTATTTCACATGAGATTCTGATTATTTTATCTCTAACTGGAATTTTATATTTAAATCTTTGTTAATATACTTTTTCTTTTGCATCTGTATTACAACCAGTAAGGCTGAGTTAGCATTTAATTCAATTATATAATCAAATAAGTGACAGTTGTTAAACTTTTACACAATTGAAATCTTTCATCGAGAGAATCCTGTCATGACACGTAATTTGCGTATGACATGGGTTATTGTTCATGCATATGCTTCATTAGTGTAATGAATTGTTCACGTAATTTGCAAAATTATTTGCTTAGAGGGTTCAGTGAATGGATGATAAGAATGGAAGGAAGAATTAGAGAAATAAGAAGGAAAATGAGCGCAGAGATTAGATCAACCTTCAGCCAGCCTTCCATATAATGTGGCGATAGTCTGCGCCATAGCTAAAACGATTCGTATGGAATGCAAGTTTTTCGCATCAAAGTTGGCAGAAAATTCGCACTGCAGCTGACATCAAATATGCGCAATTGTTTAGTTCTTCTAAATACCAAATGGAAAACTAATAATCAATTGACAGTTTGTGAAGAAATGGAGAGTTGATTGAAAGTCATTTTCTCACTTTTCTTACAAAGAATATTTTTCTTGACATTGAGCAATCTTATAAACAGTATGTCTCTAACTTTCGTCTTCTGATATTAATTTTAATATGCACAAATTTCACTATTTTTAAAAATTACATTGAGATTTCAGTACATTTTTATCCTTTTCAACACCTTTATATCGGCAATTTACATATTGACTGAAAATGGCGAAGCCGTACTTGTTCAAGCATACGAGAATTCTATTATGCTGAAACTTCCCACAAAGTTTAAGTTTCAGAAAACACTTCTGCTATAACCTTTGGAATTTCAGTTATAGATAGCAACAAATACTTTTCAAATATGCAAAAAAATATGTTTTAAAAAATTTTTTCTGTCGAAATTTTTGGATAAATAATTTTTCGCGCCAAGGATTAAAGTAAGAAATGACAAAGTTTGTAGAAGAAACAAAAAGACAAAACTGATAACTTCTGCAATTGGGAATTGACACTTTGATTTGAGTAAGGAATAGATATCTGAATCGCACTACAGCCATTATGGAAGGATTTCTGACACTTTTTAGGTTCGCTTTTTCCTTGGAATATTTGAGGCTTCTTGGGAATTTTCTTCAATGTTATTTTAAATCTCTCGCCTCTCTCCGACACAAACAAACTCAAAAAGTCTGATTGGAGCAGCTTTGTCAATATTTGCATAGCCTTTTGGTTTTAGTATACAAGCAGACCATAAATTAGCGTAGTTTCTATCTACTTTTAATCATAAATTAGCAAAAACAATATAAGTAATGAAAAATCAAGTCTAATAGTGCAAATCAAATAAGAATGTAATTTTTTAAACTCGCATCACGGCAGGCATTACGTTATGTACAAGTTTTGTACGATCAGATATGAAACAGAGCTGATATTGAGATATGCAAAGAATGTTGCGTTGGCAAATTGAAAAGATTCTGCGATAATTAACTAATTATCTACAATTTTTGATCGAAAAAACTAAGAGCAATTTTTACTGAAACTTTTCCGATCTCAAAATTGCATATTTTTAAATTCCCATGACTCTCCCTTGCATGGGAACAAATTTTATGAATAATTTATGGATGCTACGATATTTGAACTAACATTTTTTTGCAACTGAAGTCATGAATATTAATAATTTTCGGAAAAAAACAGCATAGAGTACATTGTAAAGTTAAGAGAATGTATGATGAATCAGAGGTTAAGTACGAAAATAATTAGTTAAGTACTGATAATTTGCCAACGATAATTTGCGAACCATTGAACGCTACTGAAATACCGCGGTAATAAATGCAATAAATGTAAGAAATGTTAGCGAGCATTATCGTGTCAACTTTTTCAATTATCGAAACTATAGTATATAATATCTATTAATGATAAATGAATTCATTACACGTGACTTTTGTGTTTTACTGTTAAAAGAGGAATAATAATTAGCTGATGTAAAATCGAAAAATTTGGGAGTGATCACAGATTTTGCTAACGATAGATGTTCTTCAACTAAATCAGTGCGTCTTAGAACTGAGAAGCATATTTTGAACACTGCTAAAGATTATCCAACTTCCAGCAAATTAGCGAAGCAAAAACCGTGATTGACTCTTTACTTTATCGCATTGCTTTCAATTTGTGCTTGGAGCTTTCATTATTTTATTACTTCAAAATGTATGTGTGGGCTTAATAGATGCAAATAATTATTTGGACCAGAAAATTTGGCAATTAGTATTTGTTGACAAGGCTCTCAGCAGATGGCACGCTTATGTTGACCTTGTACATAGTTCCTCCCCGTTATAGAGCGGTAAACCTTTCAGTAACAGTCTAGCAAAAATATTCCAAAAGAGGTTAAAGTACCGAGAGAAGGGCTGAGTCAATAAAACTTTAGAAACAAAATTAAAACAGTAGCAAAGTAAAAAAGCAGATAAAAAGTTGTTAAGTTTGAAAAGAGATGAATTTACTTGTGCAAAATGTCTATTTTTAAATAAAGAATGTTTTTCCTCCCAGAGTTACTATTGGGTTGCAGCGTATAGCTCATTTTTACCTGTTGGTCAATGCAAATTTCTAGATTCATGGCTACCATGTATAAATCTTCCTTTAGTTTAAATTTTGATGATATATTTGCATAAATTCATCAACAGTAACACAAATGCAAGACAAGAATGCATAAAACAATTGTACATATGCTAAATTAAAGTTTAATGAAAGGACTTCACTCAAAGATTACAAATTCATAAAAGAATAAAGTAATGAAAGTATAACCTCACTTATTTTAGCAAATAACACTACTATTAAGTTGTTATTCTCGCAAAAATTTACTCAAAATTGTATAATTTAATGTCAAAATTCAACCTAACTTTCTTCTGCAAAAATTTGCATATTTATATATTTGATACACAAACAGCAATTATTTTTTGAAACTAACTGCAATTATATATATATTTCAGACTAACATAACATTCTGTTGTTTGAACTTCCATTTTCTTTACAGTGCAAAAAATAAGTACGATAATATATCTATGAAATTGTTAATAATAAAATAATCTAATTTTCAGAAATATATCTTGCAATTTGAATGCTTCTTACGTTAATCTTATGAAATCCTTTCTCGTAAGATCATAAAGTATTCAAGCAGACTGCATCAAAATCACGAAACTCGTTTGAATAAAAAATACGACAGAAGCAACTTACAGCGTGGTTCGATGTCTGAACATTTGTTATATTCGCGTTTCCATTCTCGTTTCCATTTGTTGTTACATTATCATTAGACATTTCTAAGTCTTAAAAGACTCGATCACTTAATCAATTAATTAACATTAAGAATATCGCTTTCCAAATATATATATCCAGATTTTTTATTAAATATATATGCTGGAAATGCAAGACGAAAATACACTAAATATTTGTACGATAACGAACAGATTATGATACCATAAATATTCACCACTTGCATTTCAATCCATTCATTTTGCTCTGATTTATTTTAATTTACTTTTCAAATGCACTTTTTTCAAAAGAATACATAAAGATTACGTACCAGACTTCATATTACGCTCCACAGAAAAATTTTGAGACTAACAGAGGCCTGCAAAATAAAACTTATTGTCGACTTGTTTTGTTCGAAATATTTGTAAGCAATGCATAAGTATTGACACGTTGTGCAACAACATTTATCTATTTCTTCACTATTAGTACACGCGTAATTAGTAATTTGAAAGAAAAAGGTAATTTAAAAATAATACAATATTCGATCTTCCGTCAACATTTCAAAGCATGAAAATATGCAAATTTTAGCAAATTTCGATTGGATAGTTGCAAATTGCTAGTAAGAAAAATAAAATCAGAATCAAAAAATGACAAGAGTCAATGTTGTGGATTTGGCGTAAAGGGAATAAGCAAATTTTGGCTGTGAAATTATACAAACTACCGTGAGAAGAATGTGCAGAAATCTACAATCTCAAAGTAATAAATGTCTCCAAGATAACAAATGTAAAGCATAGATAACGAAGCGTTTCCTTCCGTTCCTGACAAAGATATCCATCCATGCACCCATCCATCCAAACATTAACTGCACTGAGTCAGTCAGTCATTTCAGGTCTTAAAAGGACACGCAAGAGGCAGGCCAATTTCATTTTATGTGCAAGCCCCACCTTTGTTACCATCCATTGTTCCGCCTTTCCCTCAGTCTTGCACCTCCGACCTCACCCACACCCACAAATATTATCCATCCATCCCTCTGTGGTCCAGTTATTATTTGGTCAGATTTTATTGATCAGTCAGTAAATGCATGGTTGAGCATGTGTTTCATTTACTGAAGTGATTGCATCTGAGCGATTCCTCCTCCTTTCGAACCCATTCAATCAAATGAGCACTTACCTACTGCTTGACTGATCTATCTTTTCACTTACGTTATTGGATCGGATCATCCAACAATAAATTATACAAATTATGTGTAATTACTCGCATTATTTTCATAAAAAACTATACGGCTCTAATTGCATTTATAATTGTGTCGTCTATCAATTTTTACATATTTTCATCTTAATTCTGATCAATAAGTGAGATATACTTAGTCATATCATATCGATACTTTTTAACTGGTGAGCTGATCGATCTTTTTTGACGTAATAAAAAGATTGGAGCGTTGAGTATGCAGTAATTATGACTGATATCAAAGAAGTAACACAAATAATATTTGACGTGAAGTTTAGTTGTAGCTACTAGGTTTTATGATCCCATAAAAGCGCTTGCACTTCAGATGCATGAAATTAGCTATTAGCTAATTACAAAAGTTTGACTTGGGACTACCGAATGTTTCTCTAAAAAATTTAAAATCAAAAATGAATCTCAGAATTCATCGGCGTTTTTTCCTTCACACTCAGAATGTGCCTTAATTTAATTTGATAATATACTCGCACTTTTAATTCCAAAAACAAATAATTATGTCGCAAAATTTTTTGATATGAACAGGAATTTCTCAAGCAGTAATATTGTGACAAATGACTAACATTACATTCCGATGTATGGCACATACTTTTTTTCATAAAGCCATTCAAATTTTTGATTCTGAATTGTGTTACTTTTTGCATTTGCTGACGAAAAGAGTTTTGCTCTCGCTGCTTAAACTTTTATTGGAACAAAATGATAATAAATAAAAAACACAATGTGTAGAATTTTTACAGAAATGTAAGAATTTATAGATAATTACGCGATAAATTATATGAATACTTAATCGAAAATAGCTACAAAATTGCCGCGTTATCTATTTTGAAACATTCAAAGTATTTACCTTTAATTCATTAGCATTTCTTTACTTACATCCAAAAATGAATTGCATATTTAACTTTTGGGAGCAACTGTCGGTCAAATTAATTTTCAGCGCACAAATTATTGTAGTAGTCATTCTATTTTTTCATTTACAGAATCTAACTTCAACTTGCTAAAAACTCGTTTAAATTTTTTGAATATAAAATTCACAATTACTTGGCACTTTTTGTTCACAATTATTTTCAAATTTTTCCTCTACGAAACGTTAAAGACTGAGTCACGTTTAAATACAACAGTGCAAATGAACAAAATGTATTATTTTGCTTTATGAAATAGCTCAGCCATGTTTTGCAGCAGCTGATATACAAATATGCAAAGAAACAAAATAATACACCAAAATTATCACCGAAACAGTTTCATCTTTTTAAATTATGTATACTTTGGATATACTGTGCAATTTCTGATTACAATTTAAGAATAATTAAATCAGTTTAGTCTGTGATGTCTTGAACTTTCTCATACAGATATTGTTGTTGATTGCGCACCAAGTAAGGTTTAAGTTCACACTGCATTGTGGCTGCATTTGGAACATACGGATGGCAACAACAACGACATACTTTTTCACCATTTATTCTGAAAAGCATTCCTTAAACAAGGCAAACATTGACAAGAAAATTCTTTTTAAATGGCCTCATCGAACAAACGTCTGAATTAAATTTCTGAAAATTTATTAGATCGTTTTTCTGAACATATCTGAGCACATTTGAATACTAGTACTTGATGTCGATTCTAGTCCTTCCGAAATGAAAAATTGAAAATTTTTGATTAATAATTATTAGATGAGAATTTTAGAGCTGTAGCTAGCACACTTGTCTTTTTAATTTAATTTACAGTAGTTGCAATATTAATAATCGGAACTTATGAGAAGAATCTAAAGTTCAGTCTCTAAATTTAGTAGAAAACTTCAAATAAAATTAATAAGCAAGTACTTGAGTGAAAGTGATTTAACTCAAATGTTGACCTCTGAATATATTTTATCATAAAACAAGCATACGAAGAATATATAACTATAGGCAAAGTGATGCAAAGTGATAAAACGAAAAACTTTTCTACTAGTGAATGATGAATTTTTGACAGGGAAAAACAAATTTTATACTCAAAAAAAATTGCAAATTAAAAGTCCGCGTGTTTTTATTGCTACCAAAAGATAGAAGAGCAAAGAATTAAGCCATTAAGTGTTAATAATTTGTGAAAGTTTTGTAAGCGAAAAATTACAACAAATATGGGTGCGAAAGTGATGATTTTGCTTGCCAACTGATAATATTCTGCAAACAAGACTAGTTGGAATAAAAATGTTCAATCTGCTTATCAGCCAGCAATAGCGTTTAAGCCAAATTGCTACTCAAATAAGATTTCATTTTCAGCATGAAAAAAGATGTTCCGAAAAATTTTGTCAGTTCTGCTATTTACTTTCTTCACAAATTTTTGGCACTTACTTGCGCCCATAAGCAGAAAAATTGTTCCGTCTATTTGCACAGCAATTTTATTCATTTTTTACAAGAGACGAAAACATTAATGTTTTAAGAATAAAAAATTTAATGATGAGAAAATAATTCTTAGGAATACATTCTATGAATAAAAGAAATTTATGCGATTCTGCTGGCAATGCATTATCCGCAGACAACTTGAACAATTAGAAAGAAGGATAAAAGTGCTAGCATGTGAGCAAACCGTTTGAGCCATTAACTTTAATAGAAGAAAGAATTGTTCAGCACTTCACTGTGATTAATCTTGAAACCAGCAAAAAATCATCAATTTAATTGGTAAAAATGAAGTATTGCTGAATATAGCTTTCGTATCTGCGTATTTTTGTGATTATCGATTATACATTTTTGACTATAACTTCTAGAAGCAGTTGAATTTCTCGAAATTAAGCGAAATAATATCCACTATAACAGATTTCGAATCAAAATACTGAGCTAAATCAATCTATAAAAGTGATTCAATCAGAATTCGTAATTGCAATCTGAATAATTTTTATAGTTGAATCCTTTTCAGTAAAGGGTTGAATCAGCTGAATCAACATGTCAATCAAATTTAGTAGCTTAAAAATTAAAATTGAATCAAAAATTGTGATGATTATTAATAGTTTCATTTTAATCATGGCATTATATTTCAATGTTGTATTGAAATTGATGAGAATTTCATAAGAAACTGAAATGGAATAGAAAGCGTTTATTGATGATGCTGTGACAAGAATAAGTGATCGCTGAATGAGTAAATGCTTAGTAGTTTGTTGCTAAATAATCTTCATACTATCTCATTAGTAATGTCTTTCGCTAGCTAAATTTCCGTTCTGCTTGAGTACGGATCAGCAGCACTTCGCATGCTTGATGTTTCTGATGACGAAAAGCGTCACAAATCTGTTTTTAATCAGAAATGTGATGAAAGTAGAAAATACAAACTTTATTTGTGGAATGCAAGTCAAATAATCTATCTTGTCGATCAGTTCTTGCATTGTTTGCGTGACATTTGGCAAATAAACGTTAGCGTTTGGCCAGAGTTTGCAATTTTCAACAAATTTGGATTCGCAAGCACTGGACTGATCATGTTCTGTGCAGATGCGTTCAGCAACAAACAACGGATTGATCACATCGATTGTGCCACTGAATTATCATTTGTGTTTATTTTATGTAATTACATTAATTAGTTTATCTGCTAGTTTATATAAATACACAAAAATATACGTTGGTATAGACAATATGTGAAAACTAGCCCTTATAAATTCTTATTTAATGCAAATATTTATAAGTATGTATTTCTGAAACTTTTGTGATATTGCATGAGCGGAATAGTTATCCAGCAGTAATCAGAAGTAATATTAATATGCTTGCGAAAAGCGCAAAAATTTATGCAGACACTCGCAAAATACCATTTTATGTCTAAATTTGCATAAAACGCATGTATTATGTATGCAATGCTAAGTTTTATAATTCACCAAACGTTTATTTCCTGTGAAATAACGTCATTAAATACGTATACATTTGGACAGCAGCTAATATTTATAAAACCTTAAAATGGGATTGAAACATTTGATTGGAAATCTTAACTGCTCAAAATGTGACAAAAATATTATTTATTATTTACTTCATTAGAAAACACGTTGAGCAATATCAAGGAAAATGTGCTGATACGTATGCTTTTCATGTGATGCAAAATAAATTTCAATTTTTATATTTAATTGAGAAATTTCGATGTGGACAAAAGTTTTCAACATTGAAAATTACATAAAATTTTGCATTTTGGTAAAGAATTTAGTTTCAAATATATAATAAAATACTGTACTGAATCTGATAAACGTTTCTGATAATCACGAAAATTAACGAAAATATTTGTAAGATTTGCAAAATGCGTGCCTGCCTATATATATGTTTTTGACCTTAGGAAAGCAATTTCTTTTTTCTTAGATTCTGAGCCATTCCATGCAATTTTTAAAATGTGAATACTGACTCTGCGTTTGTTTTCATAAAATAAAATTTAGAAATATATCGATAAATTCAATTAAATATTGACTGAGTTTCTCTCAACTTCGGATATTTTGTGCTGAACACATATGTTTTACATATGAAGACATTTGCGTGAAAAGAAAAATTATTTCTTTTTCCAAAAGTAAAGTAAAGTAAATAAAAAGTTTTTTAATAATTCCAAATTTTGCTGAGTATCTTCTTTTATGTGTTATGATTTTATTGGTATTTTTGATTTTTTTGCAGAATCACTGCTGAAAATTCCAATAAACAAATGCCTTTCTCAATTCCCTTTTAAATTCACGAAAAATTGTAATATTTATTTTTTCATCTTAATGACTGCAAAAATATGTAACAAATTGAGTAGAAGAGAAACTTATAAGCCTAGAAAACTGTGCTTCTCTCCTTCTTTCTGCAGAAATTTAATATCTTTCTGAATAGAAAGTCAAAATCGCTGATTACACTAAAAGTATATTCTCTTTTGTAAGATTTATCGGATTATTTTTTAGTGTAAAATTAAGATAGTCTAAAATCCGAAATTCTGCTACACTTGCAGATTTTTTGGTTTTGAAATGATAATATTCATTGATTAACTGAGAATTTTTTGATTTACATCAGCTGAATATTGAATTTTAAATTAAATCAAATATTGTAGATCAAAAAAAGTAACTTCTCAGTATGCTTATTAACTTAAAACGTATTGAGTTCAAGTTTTTCAAGATTTATGTATTTTCACGCAGAATTAATTTGCAAAATTTGGAATAATTATGCTTATTACCAAAAATTGATTCCTTCTACATGAATGGTAATTTGAAAATTTATCATAATCATCAATATATCATAATTTTTTGGTGTCAACTTCAGTCATTTTTGGCTTGGGATTCATGAAATTATTACTTACCGTCTATGGCATTGTCTTCCACAACTTTGTTGATAAGAACACTGCCCACATTGCTTTTCACTGATTGTAATATCACGTAAATAATTGTAAAAATTATTGAAAGCCTGAAATTTCTTTGATAAATTCAAACTTACTCTAGCTGCCTTTTTATGATATGCAATAATAACAAGCATAATTCATAATTCTTAATTAGATATGATGAGACTAACAGCGACTGCAACGCTTTCGTTGGAGAGGTCAAGAATTAAGCGAAGGAAGTGTTTGAGAAAAATAAAATGATGGATCTTAATCAAATTTCCGTAAAAACGTATTGGATAAAGTATTTCTCTTCTGAGAAGCGTTCTAAATTTCATACAGAATTAATTTGCATGAGGAAAAATTTGGAATAATTATGTCTATTCATAAACCGCTTCTGCAATTTTTGTACTTAATACTTTTCGCTGTTTGTTTACATGAAAATTTGCATCATTCGAGAACTGTATGATTGCAAACTTTTAATAGCCGAAAATTGAATGAAATTAGCAAATAATAAACCATAATAAGTTAAAATTTTCAACAGCAAAATGAGTGATATTTAGTTAATATTGCACTGAAAATTACTTTCTTGTAGAAGCATATTTTCGAGGTCATTTAAAACTGTATTTGCAGAGAGTAAATCTCGCATTTGAGAAAGTTGTTTACGAGAGTCGAGCATTGAATGATCGATGGCAAATAGCAAATACCATCGCTAATTATCACTTACCCCTTCATAGCGTGAAAATTATAAATTGTGCTCGTTAAACATTTGAGCAAAAATAAATTGATAAATTTTAGCAATTTAGACAGTTATTCTAAGAACTGTAAATGTTCAGTCGTACCCACAGACTTATGAAATGAATAATCTACAAAAGTTACAAGTACTTTCATAATTGATCGTTTTCACATTTATGAAATGAAATAAATTTTCCGTGCTCTCTGACATTGGCCCAGCTGATGAGTATGGCACTGATCTCAGTCAGAGGATGCTCACACCAATTAATTAAAATGCTGCTCAATTACTACCATTATTGCTACAAATAGTACACATTATCAATCAATTATTTACCTACAAATAAGGCCAAACATTCGGCTTAAGTGTGATTTTTAGTGAAAGTATTTCTGTAAATCAGCGACTTTTAGAAATAAGAATAAAGTTTGTATTCAAATGCATTAAATTTTTCACTATGTATTCAATACTCAAAATTGTAAAAATTTATCAAAGGAATCTCTGCGCATTTCATTTTCTTCCGTCTGCTTCCTTGCAGAACAGAACACCTTCAAATATTACAATGAAAGCGTTAATTATAAGTTGGTTAAACGCGGAGCGCATTATTTAGAAAAGAAACTGATTAAAAAAGTGCTAGAATTTGAAAGTATTAATATTTGGGATAAGACTTAAAATGAATACTATTTTATGATTGTTCACTCTGTTACAGTATCATAGTGAGTGAACTGAAAAAGAACTAAGCAGTGATAATATTACAGTTCATTTCGACTAAATATTACTGATTGGAAAGTCGTTCTCGACCTGACTTTATCAGTACTTTTATTGATAGATAAAGTGCTTTACTTTTAATAGGCAATAATTTTAGTGATAAAAAGCACTTGTGATGATGACAGGAACAAATTTTGATTATTGACATATATCTCAAAAATTTTTGTCATTGAAAATGAGACTAAATGTGATGGTATCGATGTCAATAATCTTGCTTATACTGCTGATAATATCAGTGATATTGACCATGACAGTTGAGACTGCCTGCTTTCCATTAAATGCCCTCTCACATCTTGTACTTCTAATACTTAGTCATAGTCATTGTGATTTGTTTGAATGTAACTTGACCAAAAAGGAATTTTTCTCCATGAAAGATTGAAAACGGAACAAAAATCATACAAATGATGGTTGCCTGATTTGATCAAGTTGCATTCCATCTTAAGGTCATTTACATTTGCATTTTCAACAGTTATCACCAATTTTTCTTTCAGTTATTTGGAATGAGAATAAATGATAGAATTTCGTAGAGACAAAATTTGATTTTTATTTGGCACAACAAAAAAGACATTTCTTGTCACTAAAT